AGGAATTTTTTATCTCTTAAGACCTAGTGCCACAGTATCAGTTTCTTATCAACTTATGTGGGCACCAGTTTATGAAATAAGGTGATTTATTGAAATTCATGGCAATTATTAAAACTATTAACTCCCTGTTCTAAGCAGGTTGACAATTTTCCTTAAATTTGTCATTTGTGAGATGCTGCTTAATCTTTCAGGTTTAATCAACATACTGTACTTGCAGAGACACTACTAAACTCCATGACTTCATACTGAACATCGTGGTTGAGTGGTAATCAATCCTTCATATTCAGGAGATCCCATGTCCAAATCTCGGCCTATCCTGAGTGAAGTTTTTTGCTATTTTCCTCAGTCCTTCCAAGAAAATGCCAGGATAGTACCTTAGATTGTCGCTCTCAGTGGACTATTGATTAGCGTGCTCACCACGACCCAAGGTTCACAGGTTCAAACTTGGCTGAGGCTGATAGATTTTTAAGAGTGATAAAAATCCGTAGCACAACTTACTTCGGAGCGGAAATAAAGCCAGCGGCTATATGGCTCTAGCAGACGAAATCTGGATTGAATAGGAATTATAGTCAGTGGGCTGGTCACTCACTACTCACAAAATGCACGCTTCAAAGACTAGGGAACCTCCGAAAAGGAGGCGGCAAAAACCTGCAACTGGGTTGAAAACCCAAGGAACAACAACATTTAATATTCCTGAACAGGACTGGCAACATAGAAGAGTTGTCATCTCATAGCACAGTGTTTTATGCAAAGTTACAAATTTTCTCTCATGGCTTGAGGTAAAAATTAGCTATTGGAAATGATGTTTGGAACAGATTCATCTGCTTCAGGACAGGAACAGAATGACCAGTCATATTATTGGATGTCATATCGAGGCAAAAATGCATTGCAAGCTAGCATTACACAACTTTATTTTTCCAGTGTTGCCCAATAACAATAACATAATTAAAGCCAGTACCAAAATGAACAGTGCTCCTCAACCTATTAACCAGGTGGCCAGCCGAGTTGACGTCCAGCCAATACATGAACGTGCAGGTGATAAACAGACTGACAGCCATCTGGACCATCATTCACAACCAAACGGAATCCATTGCCGAGACCCAAATCCTTAGCAAGCTTCCGGGCAACAATCAACAGATGTCCCAGCAACTAAAAATGAATAAAACAGTTTGTGTCAACAGACTGATATGTAGGATTGCTTCCCATTTTACTGAGACAGTAGGTCTGGAACTATATTCAAGTCAATTAAAAATTAATAATCCTAATGAAGTAACATCTGTACCTGCTCATCAACATCTTCTGATCTCGATAGCTGGGGGATTGGCTTACGAGGAATCACCAAGAAATGAGTCGGAGCTTGCGGATTTACATCGTTGAAGGCAACACACTATAACAGAATGGAGTTTATTTACATTCCATAGTTCCTTCATAGGCCTAAGCCAAGGATGTAAAATATGTCATTGCACAAATACAATATTTGTTAACATAGTTATAACTGATTTTGTCAACTACGATGTTTGCAACAAATATCATTACACCAGAAAACAACACCACTATTGCTTACACGTGTTTATAATTGCTGAGAATTATTGGTTGAAGTAAATTCTTCTATTGAGTAGGAGATAAGTGTTGTCGACAGAATAAAAATGCCACATAGTCCCTTCTTATTTATAAAAAAACCCGCCGCCATCACATTTACCTGATCATCCTCGTAAATGAAACTGCATGGGATTTCTTTTCTTAGTATTTTGCCAAAAATTGTATCACCACCTGCTTTAGCAACCTGAGCCTTTGCTACTTCGTCAGCCATTTTTGTACCTTGGGTAAAACCAGCTGCTTGGTAAAGAAGCGCTTTTATAGGTCGACATGTTATTTTAATGATTCTTGCACTCTGCATGCCACGAAATGTTCGCAACTTTCGGTTTCACACACTGTTAAGTATTATTTTTGTGCTCTTAATTAATTATACGTTGCTGTAAATAAGTTTTGACAATGCGTTTAATGTATGTCACTTGTTTTCGGAGCTTACCGGACATCACCGACTATTACCGATGTTGCTATGAATATTATTCAAAATCAAAAAAAATTTAGACCATGATGGAAACGAATAGTAATAATTGTGCATTACCTATGTAATAATAAAGTTCTCTCTTCTTAGGAAGGGACAGAGGGTGCAGCGTTTCCTGCATAATGCACTCACATTGTACGCTGCTTGCAACGAATAAAATATTTGT